CCCGAAATTCATCCTGGTGCTGTAACCCAGGCAGAGGAGTCATCGCCGTCCCTGGAGGGGAAACTTCCCAGCTCCCCTTCTGGGGCAGCTAGGGTGCTTCTGGCATCTCGAAGCAAGCATTTAAATGAATCTCTGAGATTTCAAAAATTGTTTCAGTTAAAAATTACTCTTAGAATGTGGGTCTGAAAAGCCTGGAGATTTTCGATGGAAACTAGAGGGGTTTGACTTTAGAAAATGTTTCTAAATTCAACTCGAATTTATAGAAGGGGGTGTCTTTTGGTGGACCTAAAAACCGTCCTATGAAAAAGTGTGACCAGGCATGTGCCAAAATACAACCTGCCCAAGGGTTCTTCATAAAGCGGGGCGGACTCTCTGGGGGCAATAAAACCACCAAAAGGCAGTTTGTGGATAGAACTGTATTGAGAAAAGAACACGGCTCGTTATGAAGGAAGTGGAGCTGCTGCATGTCGCCCTGGCCAGACTGCATTCCCCAGCGATGGCTCTGTCTGTCCCACGTCTTTGCCTGTGTCTGTCCTACTTCAAAGCAGCTGGGTATGGTTTTCCCCTGTGCGTAGCTGCTGGTGGGTGACCTCTTGGGATGTGCTTTGCAGCACACAAGAGCAGCTTGGCCTCCCGGGGCATGCAGGGTCATGCATGTTCTTGCTTTGCCTGGGCCCATACAATCAGATAAGCTGCTTGCATGGCGTGCAAGCCTGGAGCCGAAGGCTGCCCTCGGCTTGCAGGACAGACATGCCTCTTGGCTATGTCTGTCGTAGCAAGTGAAGCTCTCCCAGGACTGCTGCCTGACCATGGGGAGCTGCCTGCATCCATAGCATGAAATCCTACAGGCATCCAAACAGAGGAAACCGCATGCAAAGTGGGTACTGGAAATGGTCCCTGGCCCATGGTTGCTCCCAGCCTGAACCTAGGAGTTGTTTGGGAGAACAATAGTTGGGTTGAGCCAAGACTGCGCCCAGGACCGTGCTGCCATTTCAGCAGTGCAGATGGCCTAGCTGCAGAACATCTCGTGCCTAGATGCAGCTGTGTCCAGAGGCGCTTCTCCTCCTGTGTCGCTTAAAACGTCAAAGTGGGAGATAGCTCTAGCACTGTCTTGGTGTAGCCAAGATGTGTTGTAAATTCACTGCTCTTCCATTTTAGTTGCTCGAGTGAATCTGGCCAATGTGAATGCCGGCCCCACATGTTTGGACGCCAGTGCAACCAGGTGGAGCCTGGCTATTACTTCATTTCGCTCGATCATTACATCTACGAGGCGGAGGAAGCCAGCTTGGGCCCTGTGAGTAGCAGTTTCAGTGGGCTGGTGTGTCTGGACAGCTGTGGGAAAGTTGTTGCACCATTTGGGTTTTGGAAGTGTCTGTTTTATACCCCGGGTGTTTTGCAATTAAAATGTGAAAAACACAAAGCTGATTGTATCAGAAAACTGTCAACCTGTAGCTCTTCAGTCTTAGTATTGATAAATAATGTAGTAACCTAGGGGGGAAACTGCCATTTTTCTTTTTGAACCTTTTTCTTTGATCATGACTGCACAGTTCGTTTCCTGCCAGCATCCCTCTCTGTACCCCGCTGCGTACGTGCCTACCAGTCCCACTCCTCCTTCCCCATCATCCCACGAGTGGTGGGACGCCAGCGCAGGCTCTTCTCTGTGGTGCCACTGAAACCGGGAGGGAACAAAGGACGCATTTAAGCACATTGCTGTGGCTTTTAGAGTTTCTGCACATCAGTGACATTTATTTTATTAATGACTAAAACCATAGTTGTTTGTGCAAAAAACTGTTTTTGTAAGTGAGGTTGCCTCTAGGTTGTTTTGCCTGCTGGTGTGGTACATCAGGGTCTCTGGCTCTTTCCATTCTCCACTGCACAGCTTTGCTTTTAATTCATTAACAGCAGCTAGGTGATTACATCAATTATTTTTGCTTCCAGCAAGGAGTCAGGGAGATGAGATAATGGTTTCTCTAAAGCAGCAGATCCTTGTCTGCCTGCAATTGGGGCACTTGGTCCTAATTTATTTATTTCAGGCAAAATGCAGCCACTTTGCAGTTTCAGCCAAAGCAGAAGATTTGCTCTTAGATAACTGCAGAGAGGGAAGACAGTGCAGAGCAGAAGCTGGACCACAGTGGAGGGCATGTAAGCTGGCACAGGGTTTTTGGTGCACTGGTGTCTGCCCGACTGCAGAGGTGGTACCAGGGGCCTCAACGAGGCTTGGGGATTGAAGAGCCCAGCGTGAAAACCCACCTTGCCAAGCAGAGCGAGATGTGCTGCTGGTTTGCCATTTGAAACCTTCAGAACAAACCATTTTTAAAAAGGCCCATATTGAAAAGCTTTCTCACAAATCTGGTGGCAGAATAAAACTCTGAATTCCAGGTAGGGGCCCAGCACAAGACAAAATGAAGTGGCACAGAGTTGCAGGGATTTTCGGGCGGTGCCAAGCCCCCCATGCTCCCCATAGCTGCACGGCCTTGCTCACATCCCGCCTGCCATCCTTTCTGGGGAGCTCTGACCCTTTGTGCAAAGTCAAAGGGTAATAACTTATAGCTAGGCTTTCTTCAGAGAGTGTGAGAAGACATGAGGGTACATCCTGAAGTGATAAGTGTGTATATATAGACATTTCCTTACATTTTATCCCTTTCTACTGAAGCAGCTTCCCTAGGAATGCACAGGATGTTGTTCTATGGGGAGAACTATTCATAGATGCAGACATATTTGAAACGGGAAGTTTGAACACCACACATTTCCATTTTCTGTTGCATTTTACCTCTCCTTTGCTTTACAAGAAGAGTAGCAGATAAAAACCTGGCACCTCAGACTGAAAGGAGTGTTGATTTGGCCATTAAATATCTATCAATTATTAGGATCTCTGTTATTTACTGACACCATATTCAAGATGGCTGTGATCTGCTTTTCAAGTGTTATCCTGAGCAGTGGTTTGGTTTGGAGCAGGCCAGGGTAAATCTATTGCTACAGGTATGGTGTGAAAGTCCTTATGGTGAACCAGATGTCATAGCTGGTGGATCAGTTACTCACAGCAAGTTTTTAAATTTAATTCCCCACTATAAAAGAGAAATGGATGAAGAGTTGTGTGGTCGTGTTTTATTTCACCTTTCTTGCTTTTTGTATATCATTAAGCAGAAGGGCAACAATGTGCACACAGATGGGTTTAAAAGATAATTTGTGTTCTCTGGGATGCAAACAATGGATGCTGCGATCCAGAAATGATCCATCAGCAGAAGTCATTACTTCACGCCCTTCTATGGGGCTTGCAAATTTAATGTATTGGTATTAAAATCTCTGTTCCCTGTTTTTGTAGGGAGTAAACATAATAGAGCGCCAGTACACACCGGACCGCACGCCGTCGTGGACAGGCATAGGATTTGTAAGGGTCCCTGAGGGGGCGTACCTGGAATTCTACATTGACAACATCCCCTACTCCATGGAGTACGACATTCTGATCCGCTACGAGCCACAGGTAGGTCTGTGAGTATGGGCATTGCTGCCTCCTGGCAGGCGCTGGCTGTCCTGGTGCATGACTGATAGGAGCCTGGCGCTGCCAGGAGTTGTCAGGACTCAAGGATGCACACTCAGTTAAGTGTTTGAGATGTGTGAAAATCCAAGATGATGTTGACTATTACTAGTATTATTTGCTTTACAGTTTCGTTCATTATTGCATTGTTTCAGCACCTGTTTAATGAGCAAATTAAAAAAGTGACAAGTCCTGTCAGAACAGATTAGAATACAAATCTGGCATCAGCCAGGTGGCCTTCTAATGGGTGGAAATGCTGGTATGCGCCTTAGGAGACAAATTGCCCATCTTGGATGTTGAATGCCTGCAGCCCAGAGTTTGCAAGCAGTAGGTTTTGACTGTGAATAATCCGCAGGGTGAAAGGAAAGAGAAAAATCCCCCCAGATCCTTACCTAGAGCTTGGCAGCAATTGACTGCAGTGAAATACTCAGGTGCAGTAGCCAGAGGTGGGGGGAGAAGAGGTCACCAAACCTCCCTGCTGATGCCGGGCCACAGACCACTTACATCTAGTCATGCTTTTTTGGGAGGGAGGGAGGGAGGGAGGGATGTCATGCTGGATCATGCCCAGGGGCACTTGCCTTGTCTTGTCTCAGCCCAAACCTGCAGCCAGTAGATGCCCCATTGATGCTGGAGCTGCAGCCCCATCCTCCCCGAAGCTCAGTCAGCACCCCCTCTGTGCGCACACTTTTCCTGGCCTGAGCTCTGGATGCTCCCGGGAGCTTACGGACGTTGCTTGATGTTGATCAGCCTTTTTTCCCCCCAGTTGCCGGATCAGTGGGAAAAAGCTGTGATCAGCGTTTCACGCCCAGGCAAGATTCCCACGGGTAGCCGGTGTGGCAATACAGTTCCTGATGATGATAATCAGGTCGTCTCACTGTCACCCGGCTCCAGGTCAGTATAACTGGATGGGCCAAAAGGAGAAAAAACATTTAAAGAATTGAAACATAGTAATGTCACATTTTCAGTTTGCTGTGAGCTCTATGAAAATGAATGAAATCTAATTTCCAGTGGGTTATAAAAACATTTAGCACTGTGTATGTAGACTCAATGCTTTTAAGTTTATTCTTGTTGTCTGACTTGTTCACTGAGTAAAGAGGTGGGGGGAAGTGTTTGCACAGCCTGTGAGCGAGCATCCATAAGACTCTTTACCTTGCCAATAAGCTTTTCTGGTTCTGACTTGCACAAGCCTTCAAACGGCCGCTTCCACATCGTAGCTTTTGTTCTGCCTGGTCTCGGCTGCTTTCCGTTGTCTCGATTGCTTTATAGGGCCACCTGAAACGTGGACGTTTGAAGTAAGAATTGTTTCCTGTTCCTAATCCAGATACGTTGTTCTCCCACGGCCCGTCTGCTTCGAGAAGGGGCTGAACTACACCATCCGCCTGGAGCTGCCCCAGTACTCCTCGGTGGATACGGAGACGGAGAGCCCGTACACGCTCATTGACTCTGTGAGCAGAAATTATTTCGGGGATGCTCTGGTGGAAAATTATATTTAAAAGCCTGAAAGATTGCATCTTCTCTGGGATGCGTCTGTGTAAATCCAAAGTAATGTTTTACAACGTTGTTGCTTATGGCTGAAGCCAGATTTTAACTGAACAGTGTAAAGCACTGTAGGTTTCTTCAGTCTCAAAGTATGTGGGTTGGTTTTGTTGCATTTTACAGGACTGCAGCTAGTTCCACAGACCTGTAGTTTCTTTGAGGAGGCTAATGAGTGCCATATACATCATGAATGTCAACCTTTTCCTTTCGAGTGGATAGAATTTGGTGGATAGCAGAACTCTTCCACTGAGACCAACAGAAGACCAACCCTTCCCTTCCCTTCCCTTCCCTTCCCTTCCCTTCCCTTCCCTTCCCTTCCCTTCCCAATTCTGTCTGGCTGTTTGCTTTTGGGCCAAAAAAGGATGAAAGGAAGCAGGATAATAGTGAATTTTCACAATTTTATTGGAAATAAATAGTGACACTTTGTCATTGTAAAATTCTTTTGTAGCTTGTTCTCATGCCATACTGCAAATCGCTGGACATATTCACAGTGGGAGGCTCAGGTGAAGACGTGGTCACGAACAGCGCTTGGGAAACTTTCCAAAGATACCGGTGTCTGGAAAACAGCAGGAGTGTTGTGAAAACCCCCATGACAGATGTCTGCAAGAACATCATATTCAGCATTTCTGCCCTATTACACGAGACCGCGTTATGTATGTAACCACCTACTTGTAGGGCAAACTGTGCCTGGAAGCTGGATGGCGCTTGCAGGCAGGGCGGTTTGCACGGGGAAGGCGTGTGCATGGGATGAGGCAGGTAGTTCACCTCCTGCACTGTGGTACTCACCTCCCCCCGACGCTTTTCTCTGCTCAGCCTGCCAGTGCGACCCCCAGGGCTCCCTGAGTTCGGTGTGTGACCCCAGCGGAGGACAGTGCCAGTGTCGTCCCAACGTCATCGGAAGACAATGCGACAGATGTGCCCCTGGCACTTTTGGGTTTGGCCCGAGCGGATGCCGACGTACGTTAAACCCTTGGCTCTGGGCTGTGCTGCAGTCGGGGTCCTGCGTTTAGGGCTTGCCGTGGAAATGCAGCCCCCCTCTCCCTCTCCTTGCAGCATGCGAGTGCCACGTCCGAGGCTCCTACAATGCCTTCTGCGATGCAGAGACGGGCCAGTGCCGCTGCTTCCCCGGGGTGTATGGGCGGCAATGCGACCGCTGCCTGCCCGGCTTCTGGGGCTTCCCTAGCTGCCAGCCCTGCCACTGCAACGGCCACGCCGACGACTGCAGCCCCTACACCGGGGAGTGCCTGAGCTGCCGGGACCACACGGAGGGGCACAACTGCGAGAGGTATGGCGTGTGCACCCCCTCCCTGGCCCCTCTCCTTCCCCCCGGCAGGGTGGGCACAGCAGCCATTCCCCTCCAGCGCTGGTGCTCGGGTGGGTGTGAATCCATGGGGAAAGTCCCTGCACCCTGGGAGCCAGAGCAGTGCTTGATGGTCCCAGGGAAGGATGGGAGCAGGGATCCCATCTTCCCTGCCCGTGGCCTCATGTCTCCCAGCAGTGCCTGCCCAGATGCCAGAGGGCACGTTGCAGGACCCTGGGGCTTCAGAGAGGCTTTCTCCATTGAAAGCCTCTATGAGAGGCATCAGCCTTGGGTCTCCTCTTATGCTGGTGTGATCCAGACAAATTTGCCTCTGTGGCTGTTTGGAGCATGAGAAGCACAGGAAAGCTGTAAGGATGTTTCTGCCCTTCACAGTGGTTGAAAACCTGAGTGTAGTTACAGCAAGGCTGCAGTCTGTTTGCCTGCGGTCCCCTGCATGCTGTGTACCCCATTGCACAGGTGCCAGGCTGGCTACTATGGAGACCCTGTCCTGGGATCAGGCGACCACTGCCGTCCCTGCCCTTGCCCTGATGGCCCCGAGAGCGGACGCCAGTTTGCCAACGGCTGTTACCAGGATCCAGTCACACTGCAAGTCGTGTGTGTCTGTAGCACGGGATACATAGGTACTTGGTGGGTGCATGGTGGGGTGCTGGTTGGGCTGAACCTCCCAGTGGGAAGGGGTATCTTCATACAAGTTGTTGGATGTGACCAGAGCACCAGCATCAGTGTATTGCTGCTGGAGGTTGGCAGTGCTTGGAAGGTGCCAGGGCAGAGCAGCTTGTGCAAGTGATGCCGGCACCACCGTGAACCTCTTCCCCGGCAGCATGGCGAGGGATGACCAGTGGTGGGCAGAAGTGGACAGGACAGCAGTGGAGCCGAGGGGACAAATGTGCTGGTGGCTGGGCTGCATCACCATGCATTGGTGCCCCAGGTGGTACCATCCGTGCTGCGCCAAGCTGCTGCAGTCTCACCAAGCACTGCCTCTGTTGCTTTGAGCATGATCCAGTTAACACCTCCCAACTGATGGCCTTTATTGTCTTGCCTCAGTCTTGCCGTTCAGGGGGCTGCAGGCTGCAGGCTAGCGAGCCGTGATGGTAATTCCCACCGTGCCTGTTTGTTCAAACAGGCAGTCGATGTGATGAATGTGCGTCTGGCTTCTTTGGGAGCCCCGACGAGGTTGGCGGCGCCTGCCAGCCGTGCCAGTGCAACAACAACATCGACACCACTGACCCGGAGGCCTGCGACAAGAAGACGGGAACGTGCACGAAGTGCCTGTATCACACGGAGGGGGAAAACTGCCACCTCTGCAAACAGGGCTACTATGGGAGCGCCCTGCAGCAGGACTGCAGAAGTGAGTGGGGAGACGTGGCCGTGTCCCCTCAGCCAGCCATGTCACAGGGCACCAGCAGCCACCTGAGCTCTTTCTAATTTGTCTGGGAGCATTTGGGGTGGAGGGGAAACCGAATGACCTCCAGCCGGACTTCGGTGCAGCTGCCCTGCAGCTCAGCAGAGCTCCTGGCCAGGAGGGGAGTCCTTTACATTTGTCAAGAAGAGCAGGGACAGCGTTTCCATATGCTGAAAGGACAGAGGCTTTTGTGGGAGGGGGGTTTCTTGCCCTCTTGGTAGTGGTCTTTGTTTCCCTCTTCTCTGGAGATGGCCTGTGGCAGGGTGTGGGTTTGGCTTTTGTTCACACCAGTGTCCCTGCAGATGAGGCTGGTCCCTGCAGATGGGGCTGGCCAGCAGAAGCAAGTCCTGCCTGGGGTCGAGGGCCACGCCAGAGAGCTGGACTGGGTGGTGGGGAGGCAGACCCTCCTCTCCCTCAGCGCTGGGCACAGCCTGGCAGGGCGGATGGGTTGCTGGGTGAGCGAGCAGAGCCCCGTGGCGAGCAGATTTGCCTCCACAGCTGGTTGACAGGGGCTGGGCAGCCTTGGCCTTTGGTTGTGTACAGAGGGAGGAGAGGAGAAGAGGAGGAAGGCTGGGCTGCTTGCATGGGGGCCTCCTGTCAGGTGCTGGGGCAGAAGCGTAGAGGTGGCCAACCTGGGACACGAGCAGGGCTCTTGAGTGGTGCTGGGTGGTGTTCAGCATTGGGTCAGCCAGGCTTGGCTGCAGGCGTGGGGACGTGCTGGCATCTGCCCACACCTCCGGGGACTTGGAGAATAAATTAAATGCAAAATCCAGGCAGTTTGGTAACGAAAGGGGGCTGACAT